TTATCTTATCTTATCTTATCTTATCTTATCTTATCTTATCTTATCTTATCTTATCTTATCTTATCTTATCTTATTAGTCGAGTATTTTTGTCTGAGTGCCTGCGATTCAGCTGCAGGCCAGTAGTGGGCGAGCCAGGCATCAAAGACAACTGTATAAAAATGATGGAACTTGCAGTTTTTTGGCAGCTCTGGTTTCCTGCTTGCTTGAACAGCATTAAACCATTGTTCTTCGTTTCATTAAACCATCGTTCTCATCCAGTGACTGGTATTTGTATGGTCCTCATTCCGTTACACTTCAATTAATTCAACATTTGTGTGTTCATCGTCTCGACTTCAGTATTGAACACTGATCTTACATAATTGTTCAGAAAAAGTCAGGAAATATAGAAAACTGAATGGGTTGAAAAATATGACCCATGCTGAATATAAAGATATYTTGGCAGCACTGGGAGAGACTAAACTCAAATRTTCTGYACTCCTAGAGACTCCAAATGCACAACAAAATGCATTTAGTGCCTAAAAAAATGCATGTTGCATGATATAACACTTTYAATCCAACATCTCTGAACATGCAGCTCAGACACAGTGAAAGGTTTGTTTCCAGGATTTTTTTCAAACTGTGACAATTAATAATGAGTATTTAGAGTTGTGTAAAATTTGATACAAATATGATTTCAAACATACCTGTCCACATTGTTTTTATATGAAGGTAAGACAAAAAGAAAGTGACAGACCAAGGAGCCAAAAGATACCTCGGACAGATCACCATTCTTCAGGTGAGCTCTGGCCATGCTGTCCAACCAGGTTCGTCTGAGCTCGGGGGTGCTGGCGTAGGAGCGGGCCAGGCTGTACTGCAGGTCCAGCAGCATCTCGGGATCTTTCTCGTGCTCCCTCATCTGCGCGGTGGCCATCAGCACTGTACGTATCCGCATGGTCAACCCTTTCACCTCTGAAGGGAACGCCGTGGACTGAATCAGGACAAAATCAGCAAACAAGAACAAATCAGCCAGCATTACACATTTTCAGACTATAAGCGTGTGTCTTTTCAAAGGACCTTACTTTGCATTAATGTAGAATACAACAAAATTAAAGGAATAATATTCATGGAAATTACTTGCTGTGTGTGTGTTTTTGTTTTTGAAAATTACTTGTTGTGTGTGTGTTTTTGTTTTTCCAAAGCTGTGGGAGGAGCAGTGAGACGTGGTGACAGACTGAAACTGTATTAAGCAAATAAAAGTAAGGGTGTTTTGCAGTGCTAGGCATTGAAACAGGTAATGCGTAAATACTGAGTCAGCATTCACACCATTGTGTTCTTGTCCGTAGTTTCTTTCATACATGATGATTCAAAATGTTTAGGATAAATGAGCTATGTTTTGTATTTTTTAAATTTCTATACTCTTTAAAATATTACACCTTATTTTATAAAATACTTCAATTTTTACTACAGATTTGTAAATAATAGTACTTTGGGCACTGTTTTGCTAATTTTAGCTTGTATCTACTCTTTAGCTAATTTCATCTATGACTTTACTAGTTCTAGCTTTTAATTAATTGCTAATTTTAGCATATTTTCTGCGTTTCTTAACCAAACATTCAGTTTCAGCTTCGTTCACAAATGTCATCAGTCATTCAGTGCTCCACCTTTACACTGTGTTTTCACAGAGAATGCATGTTTTCTCAGAGATTATCTTTGTCCTCCTGCACTGTGAGTGAAGGCATGCTGACTGTGTTCAGTGTTTCTCCTGCAGCTTTGCAGACATCTCTACCTTCATGGTCTTGTCACTGTTTGCAAAGTTATTTATGATGGACAGGGACTCCTGGAAGCGTGAACTTCCTGTCAGCGCCACGTCAGAGATCAGCTGGCTCACTGCGATGATAATCTGAGGGACAGAGAGGATAAAGAAAACACCGTAAATTATTCAAACACTGTTTGTACTACCTGAGCTAATGGAGAGCTTTTAGCTGTGATGCTAGAGGAGCAAGAAACTCAGCAGGATGTCTGTGTTTAAACTGAATGAAGTCCCTCTTCTTATGTTTCCCTCACAAAACCACACACAGAGCTCAGTGGAGCAAAGCTGGAAATGTTAACCCTTAGGGCACCTTTAAAATCACTATTCACTTTTTATCTTAAGGCCCCACTCAGAAAAGTTCAATAAACACTTTATCTATGAATATAT